GGCAGTTTGGCCAGCATAAGAAGGAACAGCTTGATTTGGACATTAATTTTAAAAAACTGAGAAACACTGACCATCAACTCAGGTAACATAAAAACTTAGTGGTGCCAAGGTTGATGAGAAAATAGGGATATTCTGGTGAGAATATAAATTAATTCAACATGCCTAGGTAACCAGATTGGAAAAGGTCACACCCTCTTGGCCCAACAAACTTACTTCTAGAACTTTATGATGAGGAAATAATTGGTTAATTATACCAAACAGGTTGTACAAAGTATCCAGAATTATGGTGAAGAAGCACTTGCAAAAGACTTTTCTCTGGCCACCTCTGACTCATGAACTCCATCAAAATGCTATTTCTCACCTCCAGTCTCTACAGCTGCTAACTTAAGTGATCATTTTTCAGGGAGAAAACTAACTGTGGAAAAGCAACAGGATCTTTTCAAGGTCATTTTGCAGTAGGAGAGTCAGCATGCAGTCCCTGTTCCTGGTGTCTGACAGCCACCTCCTTGCCATCTGAAGGCAGGGAATAATTCTGCTATAGTACATTGCTTGGAAAAAAACTTCTATCAAATGACAGCAAGATTCTTAGCCTTAGGCCTCTTGATTCATGTTCCACATGCAAAAGTGTGAGCCTTGAATATGGCCAGTGATGTTTTCCCAGCAATCTACGCACTCCTATCACATGAAAACTGCCAAAGACACAAGGGATTAGCAAGTGATTCAGCAGTGTCTGCATTAGCATGTAACTGCCCACATGCTTTAAATTTTATTCCATCTCCTTTGTGTTTTAAAAACTAAATTTATTGACACATACTAGCTGTAAAGTGTAAGGAGATTCATTATATTTTCATATTTGCATATATTGTGCTTCAATCAAGTTCGTCCACCCCGTCCTACCTTCTCCCTCTCACCTAACACTCCTTCCATGTCGTGTAGTCCCTCTTCTACTTTTTTTAAGTTTCCACATATGAGAGAAAACATGCAATTTCTTTTGTATCTGAATTATTTTGTTTAACATGTATCTTCCATTTCCATGCATTTTTCTGCATATAACCAGATTTTATTCTTCTTTATGATTGAGTAGGATGTGTGTGTGCATGTGTGCGCATGCGCATGCCATGTTTTCTTTTCCCGTTGAGCAGCTGACAGATATGTAGACTGATTGCTTGCCTTGGTTATTGTGAATAGTGCCTCTCTTGCTCCTTTCTTGCTCATTAGCCATTGTTGTATAACAAAGGATTCCCAAACTCATTGCCTTATTGCAAAATTTTATAATTATTACTCAATTTTTTGGTTTGTCTATGCTCAGTTGGGTAGTTCTTGATTACAGTAAACTGTCATGGAACTTCAGTCAGCTTGCAGCTAAAACTGCAGTTCCCTGGTGACTCATTTGGGCTGGACATCCACCACAGTACATCCCCATGGCCTAAACTCCAGGAAAAAAAAGAAAGGGCTGGAATGTATCTTGAGGTAGAGGACTCACCTAGCATGAAGGAGATCCTGAGTTACATGCCCAGCATAAGATTGTATAACAGCTTAGAATTGACTTCTAAGATTGAAGGGTAAATGAAAACTGGATAGAGGAGCATTATTTGCTATTATAAAGCAAAAGAAATGACAAGCTTAGTGCCTATAGAGAGGAAAACTGATGAGACCTTATTTCACAGCACAGCCTTGAAAGTAGTGAAATTCTGTGTGATACAAATCTAAAAATGTTAGCTATTGCTTACTTTCTTTCTGTCAACAAAACCATACTATTCTTGTGTCAGGCATTGTGTTGGGTACTGATAAACAATAATTACAAGTTGTCTTAGTTACTTTTCACTGGTTGTTGAGACAAAATATCTGATGTCTAACACGAAAGAAAGAAAGGTTTATTTCTTACAGGTTGGAGGCTTCAGTCCATACTCAGTTGGCTCCAAGGTTAAAAGGCTGAGGGGCAGTAGTTTGTGGTGGCTACAAACATCAGGCATGAACAGCAAAAGAGAAAAACAAGTCTTCTTTCCTTAGGTACACTGTATGCTGGCTCCACCCTTGGCAGGTGTAGTTCTCATACCATCAATCTGAGTGCTAGAAAACAACCAATCAGAAAACATAGATATGGTCGCATCCAGGATGGCATGAGGCTTGAGGGGTACTAAGGTTAACCATGACAAAGAGACTGCTGTCATACTCTTACCATGAAGCCTACAGTCTATTGAGGTGGAGGGATATTTATCCAATAACTACCCAAATGTCAGTTGAGCATTCCTAATCAGAATTCTAAAGTCTGAAATGCTTCAAGGTCTAGAACTTTTGAGTAATGATACAGTGCCAAAAGTGAAAAATTTCACAACAAGAATTTTGTTTCAAACACAAAATATTTTTTCATTAAGATTATTGGTATAGTTTAGGTGTAAATAATGATCATGGAAACCGTGGGAAATTTGTACCGTACAATAAAAACTTGAATGTGTTATTCTCCATTCCCCTAATTTTGCTTCAACTCCCTTACCTTCCTTGTTTATGAAAGCTTTGTTTTCTTCTTTTCTCATCATTTGTTTCTTTTTTCTTCCTTCTTTTCTTCCTCCTACATGCATAATTCCTCATTTAATTAGAAAATTTTCAAAATATCTAGATTATTTTAGTGCTTATCTACATTTTCAGCTTCCCACACCAGAGAAACAACACAATACACATGTCAAACACAAACTCCTTAAAAGTATTGTATAAAATTATCTTCAGGTTATGAGTATGAAGTATATGTGAACCATAAATAAATTTCATATTTAAACTGTGTCCCATCCTCAAGATAACTTATTATGTATATGCAAATATTCCAATAAAATTATAGAAATTCCAAATACTTCTGGTCACAATCATGTTGTATAGGGGACACTGAATTTATAGATGTTTAATTAAAAACCTGAAGGAAGAAGTACAATGGGTGATCAAAATATACCTCTAATACTTAAATTTTTTAGATGTACTACAATAGTGATATGTGGCAATTAATCCTTCTTAAGAAGCACCTATTTAGACAAATAAATTAAATAAAATACACATCCTCACTTCAAGAACACTTCCCCATTTGTTCTGGCAATTTCTGAAGGAGTTTGGAAGTCCTCTTTTGTGAGTGTCTTTATATATTGGAATAAACATTATAGTTAGTGCTCCTGCTTAGTGCCATCCAATGGAAAGGAAGGCTCATAAATACATTATGGTGTGTCCTCATCCACGTGATTCACCAGATCTGGACCCCTGTGACTCTTCTGAAATTCTGAATGACCATGAAAGATGAATATTTTGAATTGATTCAATACATTGAGGCAGCCACAACAGCACAACTAAAGATACTCATAAGAGGACTTCCAGAACTGTTTCAAAGAAAATGGCAAAATGATGGAATAAGTGCATTCAAATAAAGGAGGAACTTGGTGTAGAGGTGCATATCTGTAAACTCAGCACTTGGGAGGCTGAGGCAATAAAATCTTTGAGTTTGAGACTAGCTTGGGCAACACAGTGAGTTCAAGGCCAGCATGAATTCCATAGCAAAACCCTGTCTCACAAAACCAAAAACCAACAAACAAAGAACACCTAGCTGATCGTTTCAGCACAATTTTGTGTTTGTGTGTAGATTACTGACTCACTGAAGATGGAAGACCTTCCCTGTGTGTGGTGGGCAACCAACAGGCCTGCATCCTGGAAGCTGTAAAATGGGAAAGGAGAAAGTCTGGCTTCTGCCTCTTCAGAAGAGTTTGAATCCTTGCCATCACCTTAGGTATCCATTTCCAGGCACCTAGCACAGATTCTTCTGCTCCCTGAAGACTCTCCAGGGACTCTGCAGTGAGCTCCAGGCCTCAGACTTGTGATTGGAGGTTTTGCATGTCCAAGGAGCACCTGACCCTTTTGCGCTGTTCTCCACCTGACTCTGCAGATGGCCATCCTAAACCTAATTTGTAAATTTTTTATATCACACACACACACACACACACACATACACACACACACACACACACACACACAAAGAGAGAGAAATTGAATATGATCCTATAGTGAACCCTGACAAAAACTGCCTCTACCTAGCAGTGCAACCTCCCATGAACTGCAGCGATGCTGTGCTAAGTATGGGTTACTTAACAGAGGTGTTGGTGTAAGGCCCGCTGAGTTAAAATTCTGTCCACTGCTTTGTCATTGGAAAAGGTATTTATTTTTGGTGTCTAGGCTCACACAGCAATGTAAATGATAATTCCTAACTCACACTCTTGTAAGAATTAACATATGTAAAGCGCCTCAAAGAGGCCCTGGCCTGACACTGATAAGTGTGAAAGAAGCTTGTTAGTACATTATATTAACATATTTTTAAGATATGAAAACATCAGACAATGTATTCAGGAAGCACTCATTTCTCTGTAATAAAAGAAGGGCAACAACGCAAATAACAATGGCATCTGAGCTCTTGCTATATGCTAGGAGCCATGGGAAGAGCTCTGCAGGGTTTTCACTGGATCTTCACAGCAGTGCCAAGAGAGGAGTATTGCCAGTCATCACGGTTTGTTTTTTGAATGGAAAAAAATCCACAATATTTCAAAACAAAGTAATAGGAGAATGACAGTATTGGCAAGTGAGGCTCCAAGAAGAGGAGCAGTGGGCCCAAGGTTTCAGAGCTACAAGATTTGAATCCAGACACCTATAAATTCCAAGTCTGGGACTCAGTCCACTCCTCTGCTTCCTGTCATAGTGGGCCTGGGGCTCAGAGTCTCCCAGAAGCCTCATCAGAGATCTCCACTGGCAGCCACACCCTGCTTCAGTGGGACCCTAACCCCAATTGCCACGCCCACTGCCTCATTTTTGCCCCACTGACAGGCTTGGCGCCTGCTTTGTCCCAACTTCTAGCCCTGCCCCTTGCCCTTCCCTCACACCCTTCGCCCCACCCCCTTTCAGGACCAAAGGTTCTGCTGCCCCGCCCCACACCCGGCAGGCCACGCCCACAGACGGCCTGAGCATGAGCCTCCACATCCCAGCTCAGACCTGCCCGCGCCCCTCCTCGCCCTCGCAGTGCATGCCGGTCTTGTGCTTGGAGTCGCCATTTTGCCGCTAGAGATGCTGTCTGAAGACCAGTGCTCTCTTCCTTCAGCGGCCTAGGCTGCATCCGGGCCTGAGCTGGGGTCTGGGCCAGGTAGGCTGGCGGGAGCAGGCAGTGAGCGGGGGGCGCGGCCCGGTGGCCCCCACGTTAGTGGGTGCAGCTGCCCGGGCAGGGAGTCCTTATGGCGGGGTCACGGGCCAGGGCGGTGGAGGGCACGGCGCTGGGGGCGACCCGTCCTTCACCTGCAGGTCCCCTCTCTCCCTGCCTCCCTCCTCTCTGTTGGGGGTCGGCACAGCCAGGCTACTGGAAGCCCAGCCCTGGTGTGGGACCTGCAGGAGGCGGCTTGGGGTCTCACATGGCCTCTGCTGTCAGTGAGCCTGGCCAGGCTGAGCCGCTGATATTTACCCCCCAAACCGACGATTTCATTCCACTAGGAGCTCCTCCCTGCAGAAACCGAGAGAGGACTGCGATGTTATAGTACGATAGCAGTTATTATTCTACCTGCACATGCTGCGGCTCCAGTCCGTTTCATTGATAAAGGGCTTTCTGCTTCTTTTAATATTGGCGCTACTTGGGTGTTTAGGTTTTGTGAGGGGTGTTTAGGTTTTGTGAGGAGTCTGAAGGTGGCATGGGGCTTTGAGGCATGAGGAAGTGTGATTCCACAATTTAAGTCCACAAAAATAATGCACACACATTGTTGAACCCTGCTGCAGAATACCCTTCTTGTCCCTTTTCTGCTGTCTCTGACCATTACTCCCCAGTTCTGGTCACATCATTTATATATTTGCATATGTTGAATATTGATATTATATGCATAGGTAGACTTGTACTTAGTTATCCTGTTACTGACCATGTACACAAGCCTAGTTCCTCTTAGAAAACTTTCATTTAACATATATCGTTTTTTCTTGGGATAAATTCCAGAATTTGGAAATACTAAGTCAAAGTTCTCTGCTCTTTCCCTGCCACTTGATATGAATTGGTGTCTAAACAAGACACGTTTACATCTTTTAAAATCTAGGTATTTGCCCAAATTTCTTCGCAAATTTGGTGTTCAGCAAAAGGTTGAGTCATTTTCTGTGCAGGCTGAGAGACAGGCTGCACAACCTACTGTTGGACTTTCTTTTTAAGTCGTGTACCAAGCTCATCTTTTTGTTTTGATTGACTCTATTCAGTTTTGTTTCGTTTTGTTTTATTCTCTTTAAAATAAAAAATGAAATAAAAAATATTTTCTTGCTGGCATGGTGGTGCATGCCTGATAATACCAGCACTTTGGAGGGTTAGACAGGAGGATCACAGTGAATGCCAGGCTAGCATGAAATACTTGCTGAGTTCAAGATCAGGCTGCAGTACGTAGCGGGACCTTGTCTCAGAATGAAATAAACAACCCCTTTTTCCTCTTTTCTTATTTTAATGTACCATAAGTAGATACTAATAAAGAAAATATGAAAACACTTTTATAAATAAAGTTTTCATACTATGCAGTTTGTATACTATGAAACTATATAGTATGCCTTATACAATATAGCATACTTTATATAAATTTATATACTGTAAAACTGCATAGTATGAAACTATGAAGTTTTTGAGCCAAGCGTGGTGGCTCACACCTGTAATCCCAACATTCAGGAGGCTGAGGTGGGAGAATCCTTGCAAGTTTGAAACCAGCCTGGGCTAAAAAGTGAGCTCAAGTCCAGCCTAAACTACATAGCAAGACCACGTCTCAAAAAGATCAAAAAAAAAAAAAAAAAAAAAAAAGGAAACTATGCAGCTTCATACTACGCAGACACCATTCTTACACACAGATTCTTACAGGTCTATGTGTATGTGCACATTGATGTCAGAGACATTTCCCCCTCAAAACTGAGATACTTGTTCTCACATCCATGTATTATTTCATGATCAGATTCCTTGGCTTCTTTCCCTGTGGATCCAGGGAGACCAATCTCAACATCCCTGCAGCTTTCCCTGCTTCCTATGACCCACACTGGTACCACACACCCTTTAAGTGGAAGAGAGGGATGGTCCCAGTTCCTTCCTGCTTCAAATAGCTGTGAATCAAACTCTTTCAAGGAAATCTTGCAAAGTTGTGCAGCTCTCTGTAAGGAATAAATGTCTGTTGTTAACCCTACCAGGTCCAGGGGAAAATGTGTGTAGTGCTCTGATGTGAGCTGCCAGACAGGGCTCTGCTTTGCCCCCATATTCTCCCCAGTGCTATTCAGCACCTGCCTTAAAACCTGCCATCAGATGGAGACTCAACACATCTCAGGGATGTGTGCCTGCATGAATCAGTTTTGGAGGCTCAGCGTTTTCTGCATTTGTTTGGCCAAATGTGATGATTCTGGTTTTTTTTTTTTTTTATTAAAAGAGAAAAACAAAACAATAAGAGGGTACAAGTAATACAGAATTTCAAGAAAAAAATACAGTAAGAAATCAATGTTAATACTTTATATATTGCCACCTCAACAGTTGTCCAGATTACAAAATTAAAGCATACAAAGTGGACAGTGAAGTTGTAGACAGTTCTGTTCAATGATCCAACAAAAACTCAGTAATATGGTTTTCTATTCTATACACTTAAATATACATACAGTTATATCCTTTAGATCACTTTCTTTTCTTTTCCTCTCTTTTTTATAATAACAATTACACATTGGGGTTTTATTATTCCCACAGTTCTTATAACTTTTTCTTTGAAGAGGAAAAAAAAACAAAAATAAAAACATAACAAATGAAACAAAACAAACAAACAAACAAACAAACAAAACCCCAACAGGACAAAGCAAAACAGAGTCAGTTAGAATAGGAGGATGGACATAGTACATAATGCAAAAAGAGAATACCAGGTGATCAACAATGGTTATCATTATGCCTCTTGCTATCTTAAAAAGAGTTGCCTTTATCATCTGGTATAATAGATTTGAACAGAACAGTACAGAACAGGGCCAATAAAACCCACATTGGAGACCTTACAGGACTTCCAAAGAAGATAATAGTCAAACCATAATGAGCATCATAGAATATCTTGTTGCCTTCAAAGTGGTTGCCTATACCCTCAAACTTGATGCTATTAAATAAAATGGAAGGTAGTAAAATCAGTCAGGACAAGATGTGGAGAACCATACTGGGGTTCAAAACAGTTAATAAGAAAACAAAAAAGTTACTATAATGTATCATGCTATTTTTAATTTAGTTTTAGCTTAAAAATAATAAGAAATTAATTTAAAAAAAAGAAAAAATGGAGATTGAGATAAAAGAGGACATATCAATAGAACAACACAGGTCAGAACTGAACAATTTAAGCATCATTGTGTTTCATCACCAGAGAGCCTGACATAATAGTTGTTAACATAGTTTCTCTTTCCTTGAAATATTTGAGCATAACTTTGTATACTATAGCATCAAACTTATCAAGACAGTGTGAAACCATTCAAGAGAATGAAAGTATTGCAGGGTATTTAGAAGCAGCTAACAGAAACCGAACAATGGTTTCTATACTATCTCTTTGCCTATAGAAATTTTTGTTTATACTATCACACATATTAAAATATAATATGATACAACATGTTAAAACCAATGGAAACAGGGTAACAACAACTTGATGGACTTCAAAACAGGATGATATTAAATCAGCAATAGCTATTACGCTGTCAAATTTTCTTCAAAATAGCTATTTGTACTATTAAGGACAATAAAATCAAACAACCCAGATTAAAACCATTCCAATTAATGAATGAAAACATTATATGGCTTCAAACCAATATGATGGGAATCATGATTATCATGTACTTATATGTATTCTTAGGGAAACTATTTGGTATTTATACACGTGAGTTTGATTTATTTCACTTATGAGTATGTTCTCAAGCTGCATTCATTTATTTATATCTCAATGTGATCATCCTTTATAGCTGAGTAGTACTTCATTGTATAAAAATACCACAACTTTTTTATCCATTCCTCAGTTGATGGACACTTAGGTAGTTTCCAAGATCTGGCTATTACAAATTGTGCTGCTATAAACATGGGTGCACATATATCACTGTGGTATTATGCTTTCAGTTCTTCTGGGAATATGCCTAGGAGTGGAATAGCTGGGTCAAATGGGGATTTCAATCCCAGCTTTCTGAGAAATATCCACACTGACCTCCACAATGTTTGCACCAGTCTACACTCCCACCAACAGTACAGGAGAGGTCCTTTTTCCCCACAGCCTCTCCAACATTTGTTGTTGGTGGTTTTCTTGATCTTGACGATTCTTTCAGGAGTGAGATGAAATCTCAGTGTGGTTTTAATTTGCATTGCTCTAATGACCTATGATGGTGAAGATTTTTTTCATGTATTTATTTGTTGTTTTTATTTCTTCATCTGAGAATTGTGTATTCATTTCAGATGCCCATTTTTGGATTGGGGCTTTGAATATTGGGGGTCAGATTTTTTTAAATTCTTTTTTTAAAATTTTATTTAAGAGGAAAAAGAGAAAAACACAAAACAAAACAAAGCGATGTAAGGGTACACGTAATACAGAACTACAAAAAAAAAAACATAACAGTAAGAAATCACCTGTTAATAGATTACATATTATCATCTTGGAAATAGTTGCTCAAATCACAGTATCAAAGAATACAAAGTGGACATTCAAACAGAGAGACTGCAAACAGCTTTGTTCAATGATCCAAAAACATTAATATAGTCAGCTATTTAACACCCCTAAACACACTTGCTGTTATATCCGTTATATGTTTTAGAAAGACGTCCTTTGTCTGAGGGACACTTCACTCAGATTTTTTCCAAGTTCGTAGGTTTTCTTTTCCCTATGTTAGAGATTTTTTTTTTTGATGTGCAGAAACTTTTTAATAAGTGGTGATCCCACTCATTGACTCGGGGAAGTATTTCCCGTGCGGTTTGAGTCTTGTTCATGAATTCTCTACCTGCCCCTATGTCTTCAAGGTTTTTACCCAGTTTGTCTTCCAATAGATTTAGTGTTTCTGTTTTAATATTTAGATCTTTGATCCATTCAGATTTTATTTTAGTATATGGTGATAGGCATGGGTCTAGTTTTAGTTTTTGGCATATGGAGAACCAGTTTTTCA